TAGAGTTTTGGCTCCTTTAAATATAGACATAGACTTCGGTACATAATGAAGTACAAATTATAATGTACACGTTGTCATTATGATTAATAAAATATATGCTTATATTGTCGCATATATCGATCATAATTTAAGCCATCATAATGATGAACGTTACAAAATCCCATCTATGGTAATTTGAAGAAACATTGTTTGATTTACATCGCGTATGGCTCTATTCTTTGGAACCTTAAAATAAACGAAATGGGTCAAAGGGCACCGCATATTAATGTAATATGAATGTATATAAAGTGCTTTATATTCAATTTTTCAAAATTTTGTTGTAATTTCTAATCAATTATGTTCGGTGAGATACGCGAACAATCCGATTTTTTAATGTTCAATATGTCTTAAATATTTGATATTAGTATCCTGTATTGTCATAACAAGATAACAATATCAGTATTGATTAAAATGTACAAACGTTGGTTTTTATTTCCTGTTTTTAATTTCGAAAATGGAAAATATTTAACTTCAATGCATCACGGGAATCAAGTTTGATGACAAATTGCCTTTAACATTCCCAAATTGGCGTTGATATTAAAAAGTTTCCAAGTCTCTCTTAGCTCTTCATCAAGTAAGACCTGGCGATAATAATCTTAATCCCAAACTTTCTATGGTTCACAAACTGAACTAATGATTACCAAGTATCGTTTTTAAACCGAAAGGCGCTCCGGGCACAGGGTTTTTAGCGTTAATCGCGATTCGTTTTTGTATTGTTATGGACATTCTGGAATGTTTTGGTTTAATGACTAACTTTAAAAGGATAGTTAAGAAGAAGGAAGTTAGTTAAAGAGAAAAAAAAAGAATCCAGGAAGCTAAAATGGGACAGATTTGTGGAACGTACAATTAACTGTTTTTTTTAAGTGTGTAATATTTGTTGTGTGACTTTGAAATGTTAAATCGGTCTTAAAAGAAAACATTATATCACTGTTCGTGAGGCTAATTATTTGAGGGCAGAATATTCTTGTCTTTTTTTCTCTAGATACTGGATGCCTCTTTAAGTTATTACACATCATTGTACCCAAACTTCCTCTAATACAGAAAACTCTAGTCACGTCGTCTGCAAGTCAATTGACGTCTACGAGAATTATTGCCCGTGGTAAGCTCGCGCCATGACGTCTTGCTGGCAGTTCCTGGCAATCAGCTGACCGTTTGTAAGAAATCAATGAAATAAGAAAGGGAAGTCTAGAATTGTGTTGTACTACACGTCTTGGATAAAATGGAATCAATGCACGAATAGAAAGCATTTTCTCCCAAATGCTCATTTAGTCAATAAATTGAATTAAATTTTGTGTGTAGGAAGGAAACTCTTAGTATTGAAGGAGTCAAATATATTTATGTTCTGTATCCATGTGTATTGATCTAGTTAAATATAGGTATTAGCACACAATTAACGTGATTATAGGTACGAGTCAATCAGGTTTAACTAAGATGTCAATTACGTTTCAGTTTATTTTTTAACATCTGACAAATTGTCTTAGTAAATGGTATTCAGATCACGAGGGGTTCGTTTTGTGGTGAATAATGGGAATTTTAAAAAAATAATTATTTAAAAGAGGATCTGATGGGTTTGGCGGGTAGTCTGCCATATCACCAGAGGTGAAAGCGAGCGTAAACTACTAGTAGTAATAGTGTTATGTGTTTTAGTATTAATATATAAGAGTTTATTTCCATATAGTCCGGTAAACATAATAAATGACCTAGAACAAATTGCAACAGAATTTTTCTCGACGGAATCTGGTGGAGGGGTCCCTGAAGGTCTTCCAAACAAAAATCGTCCAAAATAAATAAAAATAGGTTTTCGAGTAGTTAGCATAAATCCAAAATGGCGACCATTGGCACCTTAAAAAAACTCCAATATCTCGGGAACGGTTGTGTTGGGGGGTGTTAATGTATTACGAGTAGATAGGAAAGTGGTACAGATGACTCAGAAAAACATAGCTAAATGACGTCCCTGTGACGTCATACCGTCATACGGCCAACAATTAGCATAAATCCAATATGGCCGTCATTAATTAAAACTCCGATATCTCGGGAATGGTTGAGTTTAAGGGATGTAAATTTATTACACGTAGATATAGGAAAGTGCTACCAAAGAACTAGAAAAACAATGCCAAGTGACGTCCTTGTGACGTCATAAGTCATACGGCCAACAATTAGAATAAATCCAAAATAAAAAGATAGTTTTTCGAGTAATTAGCATAAATCCATTATGGCCGCCACTGGCACCTTAAAACTCCATATCTCGGGAATGATTTATAGGGTGTAAATATATTAGAGTACACTGTAAATAATATTTGTGTATTTTTACCGTAAATTGACAGGCAGAAAGTTGCCAGTAAATTGACTGTATTTTAACACTGACTTGTAAATTTACACCTAAGTGGTAGATTTGGATTTACAAAAAAACAGCAACCGAATGACTAGACATGTATTTTGTCCGAATCAGTGGCGACCCCATTCCAGAAACCATCATCATCTGTCATTATTTAAAGATCAAAATGAGGAAACACGTCGTGGTCGAGAGAGAGGAAAGACGGTTGGCAATGTGAAGAAGCTGTATAGATCAGAGATTCATTCGCTTTTCATGAAAACAACATTTTTTCAAAAGTTTTAGAGCAGCCCGTCACGACCTCGTGTGAAAAGTACTCTGCGATCCCAGCTGGTGTGGCGACCCCGAGGTTGGGAACCCAGAGTCTAAATAGTTCCAGTTCAGTGAATGTACATATATAGTTTTTGTTTCATCCCGTTTCACTAAGTTAGTGGTGATTATTGTATCCTGTTAAAAGTATATATTTTGACAGGTCAGTGGCAATTAGTTTAAACAGATGATAATTCAACTCCGTAAGAGTCATTCTGGGGTCAATTCAGAAATCGAACTGGACTAAATTCAGAATCCGAACTGGACTGAATGGAGAAACTCAGAATTTAAGGTCATATATTTAAAATATATATTCTGGTTAATGTAGCTAAATCGCTAATATTAATTTAGGACCTAGAAATTGACCCAAATGGGTCGCAACGCATATAATAATGTATTATGAATGCATATAAACTGATTTTACATTCCATCGTTACTGTTTTACTGCCATTTCTAATCAGGTATGGCAATCAAATGGCAATCTCTAGCGTCTGGTTATTCCAGTCTACACCGATAGAATGCTCTCCAGGTAAGAATATGCCGTCGCCGTTTGGCATGACATGTGGAATATGTCTAGCCTCGTTTTTGTTACAAATGGCGCTGAAACGCATTATGGTACGCGATTCGTGTACCACTGGTAAAATGTTTATTTTGTCTTAAATATTGGATATAAGAAGCCCATCTTTTCCAGGAAAGATCACAACATCAATGTTGATTTAAATTGACACATAATTGTGTTTTCAATGTCGAAGACTTTGAATGATACTGAGTTAGAGACATGGCTACTTTAACAGATAATCCCGTGTCACTTAAAATGGGTCACATGACCGGTTTTGATTTCAAAAAATAAAACAGTCGAATTGATTACCGCACGTAATATTTTTTTAACCAGGTTACAGAAAGTAGCGCTATAAAAAATTGAATGAATCCGAAACAATGCTGGATAATAATACATTTCCAAAAACAGCATGAGATAAATGTAGTGCTTTAAAATGTGATGTTATGAGAAGTCATTTAGCCCAGTAGTGATCCTTTAACAAAATAAAAACATTTCTTAATATATACTGTGCTACCAGGCCCCTGGATCAATTTGGTTGATAGTATATGTATGTTTGTTGTTTGTTACTTGCAGGCAATGTCTGTATATTCATTATTTATCATGTCTGCGGGTTTGTCTTATGGATGTTTTCGTATGTGTGGTGCCATCCTCATGCGTTTATTATTAGCCATCAAGGTGACCAAAATGTAACTATCGCTCGAAAACTAAATATAGCCAGCTGTTTTCTCTCCGCGTTCCATGTACGCGTTGATGAGCGACTTTTTCGCTGGCGTTTTTCTATTGTGAAGTGTGCGCATGCGGATGTTTACGTTCTGGCTCACGAACACGGGTTCTCTTCCACTAAGTTCCTGATAATTCAGCTTGCAAATGGTGATGTTATTATAAATAGGCGGCGACTAAGCGTAAACAATGTCATGATCCATGCAGGACAGAGAAATCCTCACGTTTAGAGTCATTTACGTGGGATCCCACAAACTTTTCATCGATTTCTTCTGTACACATGGAAATACATGGAAAGCGGACTTCCTAATGCAAACTGTAGCGGAGAGCGTTCTTTTTGCCACTCTAGTGAATCGCAAACCACCCGCTTTCCACTAAGAGACATATATTAAAATTGTCTCTACCCATCGGGACTTCCCCCCCCCCCCCCAAGTAAATTTTTCAAAAGTATTAATTTTTACAAGGCTAAGAACAATACTATTAAGATTATAACATCTGTTTTGCTTAATTTCTTTCAAACAAATTTATCCAACAAAAAAATAATTGTCCTTTAATCTCTGGAGGTCCTACTACAGCTGACGAAGGGCCCTACTAAAATCCCTAAGGCCACCTAAGGCAGTCATTAATATTTTCGACGGTCAGAAAGTGCAAGTCGTGCGGTATTTTACACTACTCTCAAATTAGAACCCTCCATCTTCGCACACTCACACTGCAACTGCAAGGCGTTTAGGCTACCCGTCATCATTAGTCCAATTGGTGCAGAAGTGGGCGTTAAACCCAATTTCATTTGTTATCGACAGATTTTGACAACGAGATCACCAGTATCTAAACCCAAGGGAAAGAACTCTTAATCTCAAAATTTTCAGAAGAACTGCCCAAACCCCCCGTCCCTCAGGTCCTTCGGAACCAGTCGCCACCATTCGTCGAGCCCTTAATCCGCCCTGACTGGCTATTTCTCTAAATGAGAGGGTAAAGAGGTTGCTGACGGCTAATACCAGTCAAAGGGAAATAACTCCAATTAACGAGTTACCTCCACTTCATCACCGGAAGTTGTAATATCAAAATCAAAACATTCTGGAAGCAAGACACACGTGGAGTAGTGACAGTTGTAAACTGTTTATATTACTTTTTGTTTGTAAGTTTTAAAATATATTCCGGTAAATACAAATGAAGGAATGATTATTTGACAGACTGTGTTCTCTCTTTACTTTGTATTTTAAAATATTAAGTCATGATTACCCTTTCCTTTACCAGCAGTAAAAGATAAATAAAGCCAAAGGGGCCTACCCTAGGACTACTCTAATTATAATAATAGCTAGAATAATTGTTCAATGGCATTTAGTAATTGGATAGAGCAACTTGTGTATTTAAGGTCACGTTTTAAAGAGTATTTTGTCCTTTGTCTGTTGTTTTGTAACCTTGCTGTTTCGTACTTAGTTCATCAATCATTCGTACCTCACATGAGGCCATGAGCCGTTTCGTACTTCACTTCGTACCTCAAATTGATTCGTATTTTTTCCTATGTTGTTGAAATCAGTTAAAAGAAATTGAAATAAAGGTGAAACGATTTGATCAAATCCAACGGCTACGCTAAATTTATAAAAGTGGCTGCTGAGCCTTAATTAGAATATGCACGAGATTAGTTTGTTTTCCTAAACGCAGTGGATATTTAACCGTATACGGCACTTTATTTTATTTATTTACTATTTTGCCGTACGCTTCCGTTTAACATGCGCAGTTCTCTGACATAAACCCATAACCCTAACCCAAAACCTAACCCAACAGTTCTATTCGTTCTTTGTCTAACATTGGCTTGATGCTATCGATAATGGTGCGATGAGTGGTATAGTGTATCTTGATTTTAGCAAAGCATTTGATCTCATTGATCATAAGCTTATTATTGAAAAACTTCATCTTTATCGATTTGATAATAATTCACAAATTTTGATTGAATCATATCTTGACTCACGGAAGCAAAAAGTATGTTTAGGATCAATTACCTCCTCAATTACTACAGTCAAATGCGGGGTTCCACAAGGTTCGATCCTGGGTCCTCTCCTATTCCTAATTTTTATAAATGATCTCCCACTCAATATTGAATCAAGTCAGATAGATTTGTTTGCTGATGACAGTACCCTGCATTGTTCACACAAAGATATTTTATCCATCGCCAAAAATCTCCAAAATGATCTCTATTTGGTTGCTGAATGGTGTGAAAACAATGGGATGGTAATCAATCCTTCGAAAACAAAATCAATGCTGATTTCAACAAAACACAAAAGAAATCAGAAAAACCTAACTTTATCTCTCCATGGTGAGAAAATTGAGACGGTTACTACCGCAAAATTACTTGGAATTCAAATTGACCAAGACCTTAATTGGGAAGCACAGATAGCAGATATGTCTAAAAAACTTGCATCAAAAATATTTCTCCTAAATAAGATAAAAGATCATTTACCTTACGAGACAAGAATTTTGTTTTATAACAGTTACATACTACCAATATTTGATTATTGCTCTATTATTTGGGGAAATGCTACCAAAAGTAGATTAGACATTCTTTAAAATTACAAAAGAGGGCAGCAAGAGCTATTCTTGATGCACCGATTGAAACTCCGTCCACCTCTTTATTTACTAAACTCGGTTGGCTTACCCTTACACAGAGGATTCTTTACAATAAAATTGTCTTATCATTCAAAATTATTACATTTAATACTCCACTTTATCTAAATTTCCATTTTATTGAAAAATCTCTTGTTTCCAAAATGGATATCTTGCTCCGTTCACAGACCAGTAAATCTCTTTTTCTTCAAAAATGCAAAACGGAATCCATGAAACGTACTTTTCATTATTCTGCATGTCTTTTATGGAACAATCTGCCTTTTGACATAAAGATGTGTAAAAATGTTGAAAATTTTAAGATTAAACTGAAAACTCATCTATTTTGCACACTGTAGGAACCATAATATTCAACTGATGACATACTTATTATTTTTAACTTGCAACTGCATTCTATTTTATTTTGTGTGTAATTATAGTGTTCTTCCTATATTCTACTTGTATAATGTATATGTTTTGTAGTTTGGGAGTGACTTATCAAACTTCCCACTTTAAAATGCTATTGCATTTCTAATGATTTTAAATTTATCCTGATATTACATGTATATATGTCTTTGTAGTTTAGGAGGGACCTATGGAAGATTAGTTTTTTTTTTTTGCAAACTAAATATGTTGCCTCATTAAATAAAGTTTTTATTATTATTATTATTATTATTGCTTCTTTTTCCGTTTCTTATAAAGGAACGAAATAGCCATACTTGAATTTCTATGGTAGAAACTGGAGAATTATTTTTGAAAGAAAATAAGATAATAAATGTAAATTGTAGAAAAGCATTTAGAATATTATTCTATTTTGGTCGAGGGCGCATTTCTGCGGATTTTGGTTTTTAATTTAAGTACTAAGACTGTCAGTGGTTTATGTTTTTCCCGTAAAATCGTGCTTCTGCGCCGAACTTGAAAGACGACTTGCCAAAATGGTGGAATATATCTACTTTCCGCCATTTTGAATCAGAAACGATGTACGGTAAAATAGCGGAAGTAGATACTTTGCCGTATACGGTTAAATATCCACTTCATTTCCTAAATGACCTTAAAATTGAAATAAAGGTGAAATATAATTAAATGATTTGATCAAATCCAACAGCTGCGCTAAATTTATAAAAATGGCTGCCGAATGAGCATTACCTACGATGATTTAATAACAAAAAGTGAATTGTATGGATTGAAAAAAAAATTAGAAATTTCCATATTGATATTACACAGCCTGCCCAATAGTAGTAATTCACACACAAAGGATATATTTAAACTAAAATTGCTTTAGCATTCCACTAAATTTACATCGGTTACAATCGAAAGCCATTTTCATGCAATTGGGTTTCAAAATCAGAATTACCCCGTGATATAACCGTAATACGGTCCATGATATAACAGATCAAAGAAACGCGTACGCCCATCTTCACACGTAGGCACCTTTTGGAGACTGGCTGTGTTCTATTTTTAGGCTCAAATAACCCAACCGTATCAGAAACCATGCAGTTCCACCTTACAGTGAGTTAAATTGATTTGAGGTTTATTATGTAATGAATAAAATACATTACGTGTCGCATTTTGGAATTCTTAGTATATTCAATTTTCAATCGTTTTTAACCGCTTTAACAACCCTCAATCAATTATCACAATCACAACTCATTCAGCAGAATGGGTTCAATAATCAACACCGGATTGTATACTTTTTCAATCGTTTTTTAAACTGCTTTAACAATCACCAATCAATTGTCATCAATAATCACAACTCACTGAGCTGAATGGGGGATCACGTGGCTAAGTGGGTAAGACGCTAGCTCGCTAGCCTGGAGGTCGGGTGTTCGATCCCTGCATTGGCCGAGAAAGTTCATCCAGATTTTCCGGCGTGGTTCTCCCTTGTCAGTGATGCAGGACGGAGGGGCTGACAAGGAAAGCTGTCTAGTCGTTCGGATGGGACGAAAAACCGAGGTCCCGTGTACACATTGGCGTGCACGTAAAAGATCCCTTGGCAGTTGGAATTCGATATAAGAGTAGGCCGTAGTGCCCTGTCCGGGCAAAATTTCCCTCATAGCACACTGTATGGCGTATGCCCGTCTTCATTAGCCCAGGTTAGGAGCAGAACAGTAGGACGTTAAACTCCATTTCATTTCATTTCATTTACTGAGCTGAATGGGTTCGATAATCAACACCAGGTTATAGTTTATTATTTCAATTTCTTTCAACAACATATAGATTTATTTTAATTTCTTTCAATTTATTTCCACAACATTTAGGAAAAGGTACGAATCAATTTGAGGTACAAATCATGTGTGTAGTTATAAATTTAGCGCAGCCGTTGGATTTACGAAAAAGAACTAATCAATTTGAGGTACAAATCTCGTGAATATTCTAATTCTGGTTAAACATATTCAATTTCTTTCAACTGATTTCAACAACATAGGAAAATTTACGAATCAATTTGAGGTACGAAGTGAGGCACGAATGAACTAAGTACGAAACAGCCAGGATACGAAACAGCCTGCACCCTTGTCCTTATATCAAGCTAAAACAAACCAAGACATTTATGGGACAAATATAATAATATAGACAAATTATAAGAACAGTCCAACATTCCAGTGATATGAATTTTGCAAAAATTGCTTTATCCTTAGGTTTAGTGCTTGTTATAAAAACTAACAAAATGAGTTCAGGTTCAACGAAACCAGTGAAGAAAGTTTTAACGGATGAGGAGAGAGTAGCCATGTGTAAAAAAATGGATGAAGATCTGGACATATTTATTGAAGAGATGAAAGCTAAACACAAGGAAAAAATGAAAGATCAACCACCAGAAAAAGAAAAGTCTATAGACGAGATAATTGAGGTATAGGTTTATAATTTTATGTAAGTGGAATATAATTTAATTTTAAAAGAAGTCGTTAGGTCAGTGCAGTCTACTAACTCACTAAAGGTAAATGTCCATTTATGTGAAATTGTTTGGTTAGAAAATTTGGACACTTAATGTCAGAATCGATGTGCAAACAGAGAAATGATTGTAGTGAAGACAAGGATTTGTGTGTTATATGGAATAAAACAGTTCTTGTTTCCAAATTATTGAACAATATTCCTTGATAACTGGAATTTGATCCATACTATGATGGGTTTTTTTAAGTATGCATTTTAGTATATGATCTTTGAATATCATATCTCAGATTACCATGTCATTTTATGTACATTATGTATTAACAGGAATTAGAACGTCATCCAGCATTTGCAAAAGAGATTGATTTATCCAAACCTTTAACTACAGAAGTCGAAGGGTTGATGGCTTTAAAATATGAATGTGAAGATCCAACAGGTAATGTAATTATATACGTCATTATAAGCTTTATCATTGAGTTGAGTGGGGTGGTTCCCATTCCCTAAAGATAAATGAATACAAGCTAAAATTTGACTAAGACATAAAGATTGTACAATAATACACATCAGTATTTTTCTATTTGTAGCACGAGCTGATAATTATAGAGAAGATGGTAATGATAATTTTAAAAAGAAGCGTTATAGAATAGCTATATCTAATTATACAGAAGGTATAACATCTAACTGTCCTGATCGTCAACTTAACGCAGTTCTATATACAAATAGAGCAGCAGCACAGTTCCGTTTAGGTATGTCCATTTATAAGTACTAAAAGTCATTAAATTAAAGGGGAATTATGGGAGATTAGGTAAAGAGTTGGCAGTTCTCGCTATAATAGTTAAAAAGATAGATAACGTAAATAAAATATGCTGACAATTTCAGTTAAATTGCTCCACTCTGAACCGAGATATTAGCCTTTAAATTTTAGGCTAACCTCAATCATCATTACTAAAGTCGGTACGATAAAAAACAATGTGCGTTTAATTATTCTTCACAAAATGTATTCCAATCCGCTAAATATTGCAGGCTAGCGATGGCATCGAGAGTTGATTATGGTCTGGTTAAGTTAATTAATGTCTAAATAATAATCTAGATAACATTTCAGGCCTAAAGAAAGACCTGTAATATACAGATTTAGCTCTTGCATAATGTAGGTTTAGTAACCTGCATCAATAACCTTACAATCTGGCCGTATTACAGAGGCAAACATATTAATCATGTAAAGAATAAATTTTATATTCAAGCTAAGGTTGTCTATATGACCCCTGTATGTAAACATCTCAGATAGATAATATTGCAAGTCAATTTATCAGACATAATGGTTCAACTTTCTGGTAAATATTAGAACTTTTAGGTGATTTCCCTATTCTATTGTTATTGGAGTTTTTTTTAACCTTATTTTAATCTTGTGTACATGTAATTCAGGTAATTACAGATCAGCATTCAATGATTGTATATTTGCCAGGAAGTATAAAGTTGATCATATGAAGGCTATTCTAAAAGGTAGGTAATTTATTCATATTTCATTTTAAGTGTGAAATGTATAATTTAGGATTTTTAACAGAGATATTAAATATATATTATTGAAAAAAGTTCAATTATCTGTACATCATTAGAGCGACAGAATGGTAATAAACATTTGATTGAACTGTAAGGAAACACCAATTTCATTTTGTGTTCTTGGGGAAAACCTGTTAAATTATTTCTTATTCTTCAGGAAAAACACTAATTTAAAAAAATAAAAGTACTTATTGCTTTTACTTCCAGATATTTAAGTTTTCAATTGCCTGAAAATTGCAGAGGAGAGTACTTTAATTATATCCCTCGGATAATAGTTAAATGTTATGGGTTTTATTCTTAACATATTTATGTTTTTGTTGTTTCTAGGTATGAATTGTTGTTTAGAGATGAAGAAATATGATGATTGTATAAAATGGTGTGATACAGCTTTATTGGTAAGTGTCCTACAGTAACTGTTAGAAGACTAATCAAACCCTTGGATCCCAATAACCATTGAAAATTCAGTTATTTTGTAGTATCAAAAATACTCTAAATTTGTTAAATCCCTCTGATGTGATGTCATCATAAGATTCACAAACTTCATATTCTTTTTTCCCTTGAAACTTGGCAGCAGTGTTCAATTGGGCTTAAGGAGTTACGTCACTGTTTGCATTCAAATTCATGAACTCTTGTGAATTTAATATACATTTGTGAGTCCCCACCCTATTCATATGGTTTTAAATTCATTGAATCTTATGAGCATGATATTAAAGCCCATCTCACCATAAGAAACAACTCTTATGAATTTCAGGTTTCAGGAAGAAGAGGAGCTTGATCGAAATTTAATATATTTTGATGGAATATTTTAGAATTATCCCCCTGTTTACATTCAAATTCCTGAAATCACAACGCAAGGAAGAGTTATTTTCCCATTCCCATGTTTACTTTTAAGGCTTAGTACAAAGTTCTTACCATAATAATGAAAATAGATTTACCATGGACAACTTTGTTGCAAGTGGTCATTCTGGGCCAGGAAATACAATGTCTGTATAAGCTCTGTAACTAGTTAACTTATTAGGACAACAATATTTCATAATTCTTTTTTTATTTTTATAGATGGATCCTGATGATAAAGATGTCCTTGACACCAGGTCAAAAGCTGAAAGATTAAAGGTAAAGATTAAGATTCATTAAGCTTTGTATATTTTTGTCTAAAGATTAAAATGGATAAAATGATCAATCTGATTAAAAAAACAGATTTATATTTTGTTTCGTTTATTTTTTTTTTTATACTTTCGATGGCCTCCACTACATGAAGATCTGACCGGTTGTAGTGGGAGGTTGTGCCAGGAGTCACATGAGCGGCCCACAGTTCCGTGCACAGCATGCTAAGAATTCGCCGCAACATACCATTTCTATGGCTCATCCCTCAGATCAACCGTAACTTGGGTTATTTAACAACTCTTCCAAATCCTAGTGTTGTAAAGACAAGTAAAACAAAATTTTGAACTATAAACAAATGAAACGAAATAGGATCTGTGTTTTAATCAGATTGTAAAATGACTTCAATATGACACATGGTTTTCTCTTGTTTTTAAAGAGACTGGTGCACATGTGAGTTACTGAAATAAAGTAAAGATTACTATTTGATAGTTTTGAAATGACCTGGTTATTTTGAGTGGATGTTAAACCTCATTTTATTTCTTTCTCTCTGTCTATTATAGAAATTAAAAGAGCTTGAAAATCGTAAACAAGCTGCTAAAGAAAGAAAAGAGGAAGCTGAGGAGAAGAAACTTATAGAATTGATTCAGGTACATACATAGGGTACTAAGATAACTGGTTGGATATAGGTTGCTATTGACAACAAATAATTATTAACAGTGGTTATTCTTCTTTGTCCGGTCTTGGGTAATACCAATTAATTTTTGTATTGAATTTCAGAAAAAAGGTGTAAAGATTGCAGGGTTAGACAAATTAAAAAAAGAAACAAAATTATCACCCCTGGTATTAGCCAACATAGAATCCCATCATCCAGCTGGTGCTAAAGTGAAAGTAGATGAGGATAATAATTTACATTGGCCAGTTCTATTTTTTTATCCAGAATATTCACAGACAGATTTTATAGAAGCATTTAATGAAACAAATACGTAAGTCTGTTTACACAAGTTTCCACAAACAAAGTCTCAATTATCCATTTTTATGTTAAATTATTCATCACAAAATGTATTCAAATCCACTAAATATCGCAGGCTAACGATGGCATCGAGAGTTGATTATAGTCTGGATATGTTAATTAATTTTTAATAATTCAGATAGTATTCCCGGTCTAAAGAAACAACCTGCAGTAGGCAGATTTAGCTCTTGCGAGATCGGGCAAATTATTTATGATTATTTTTATTGTAGGTTTGCTGATAATATTTTACACATGTTTGGTGAAGAGGTACAACCACCATCTTGGGACACAGATAATAAATATAAACCTGAATCTATACAAGTAGGTGTATCTACATGTTACATATAATAGTTTTTCTACGCAGATTTTGGTTTTCACCCATGAAATACAGTATTGTCAAGGGACATGTCCAGTTATTCAAGATGTCATGGTATGAGGAGAATTGTCGTCCAATATTAATAAACACATACCATTTTAGTCTTTAATCGAACAAATTTCTTATATTCACCTTTAGATATGTATTTATTTAAAGTGCCCTAGAGAAGTCAGACTGGCTGAATGTTCAGCACTATAGAAAATAATTATTATTATTATTAAAGCGTATGGACCTGGCTTATTGAAAGTTACTCTCATATCATCATGCTTTACAGCGTAAAAACTGAGTGATTTGATGATATACAATCTGATTAAAACACAGATCCTATTTTCTTGTCTTTTTTTTTATATTTCCTAATTTCGTCTTACTTGTCTTTACAACACTAGGATCTGGAAGAGTTGTTATATAACCCGCGTTCTGGTTGATGTGAAGGATTAGCCAATGCAACTGTCTGTTGCAGCGAATTCTTGGCGTGTGATGCACGGAATTGTGGGTATCCTATTAGAAACATCAACGCTGATTGGTTAATCAAAAGTCGTGTGTATGACCCCTGACGCGACCTCCCACTACAATGATCAGATATTCATGTAGCATCGAAAGTATAGATCTGTATTTTAATCAGATTGTATATATATTATACAGATTAACACGTATTCAAACTATTTTATCTATCAAAGGTTTTCTTCAATTATCAAAACATTTTAATCTCAAGAAAACTACCACATGTGGCTAGAATCTATTTTAAGCTTCTTTGTCACATGACTTAATTATGCGAGAATCAATTTTCAGCTGGTATTTATTGGTTGTGGTCCATTTACCATAAATATCGAAGCATAAGTAAATTCTTGGATTATCTTCTGCCAACTTCTGTTTCCATCGTTTAATCAGAGCGTCAACTCCTACCGGACATTATTTTAGCCATTAGATCAACACATAAGAAGGCCTCCTTATGTCACCCAAGCAGACAGCCTGTCGATTACATTTTTGTCCTGTTGGCGACCGATGGGTGCTTTTCAGGGTATCCAGTATTTTTCTATTAAGATTGTCTCTAAATTCCATATATCCCATATATGCCATACTTTTATTGGGAATTATTTACCCTATAAATACTTTCACTGGAAGGTATCTTCAAATAAACTAGTGCAAAAATTATTTTCAAGATATTTTTATTAGATATTATTATTATCCCACAAAATATAATGGCAATATATGGGATGGGGCCCTTGCGAATTGCTTTACTAGAGGGAATACAACACATATATACACCATTAGTCTACAGATTGTGTTGTATACAGATTGTGTTATTAATGAAAATGTAGATTTTTGTTCTAATGATCTCCCCTTCCCTTTAAAAACCATGAAGATAGCTCTTTATAAGATAGCTTTTCAATAATTTGTTTAGCAAATACATGCTTCTAATATTTTTCTTTTTTTTTTAAAAGATATTCTTTGAGAATCGAGAAGAAGAGAAGGTTTATCCAGTAGATATTAACTCAACCTTGGCTAAAACCATGTTACATAAAAAGTAAGACTCTATTTTTCAGCACCTCTGCTCCACTGAATCAAATTTCTCCAAAACTTCCATTTATCAGTTAGACCTATGGTGATTTGATGAATGCAGCTAACTGGGATGTCCAAGGTATAATCTCGGAGAGGGAAATTGGGGTTTAACGTCCACTCGACACAAACTAGGTCATTTCGGGTCTAACATATGGTTCAATTTTATTTCAATAATTCGCTTGCGCATAGGGGTCTGTCAAAAAAAAAAAAAATTAAATGATCGTGAATACTACCTTACAATTGACTTGAAATGTTTTGTATACACTTTCAACCTAAATATAACCATATTGCCAGTTACCAGTCAGTACACCTCTTGTCTGCAGGTGCTTGTTTAAGGATCCTCCCGCTGCTCCCCACCCCTCCCCCCCAAAACAAATAATAAGCCCAAGTAAGCACACCTAAAGTCCACAAAAAAGCAATAAAATGAATAACAATCATAAAATCACATGAACTTTACGGTCAACGTGGATAAAAATTCTTTAGGGCAAGGTAACGATCAGCTAACAGCTATATAGGCAATATGATCTATATTCTACCGTTTTACCATAGTGCTCAGTGTTATTTTATCCATTTTTATATGCCCTCAATGGCTTCTGGACGCTCTAGAGGCTAAAGTTAATATTCAATTGACTTTAAATTAATACACAGTGTTTTAGGTCATGAGATGCAGAAGCCTATTGATCTTCAACAATTTCCAATGATTACTCCGTCTTCAATTTGTCAGTGGGAGCAGAACAGTAGGACGTTAAATCCCATTTCATTTCCGATAATTACTGCCAGATTGACTTTAAACTATACACAGTGTTTATGTTCATGAGACGATGAAGCCTATTGATTTTCAACGATTGCCAATAATTACTGCCAAAGTTATGGTCCTTGAACACTTTGAAATAACTTGTGAACTAAAGTTTGCGGTCATGAGAGGAAGAAGTCTACTGATTTTCAAGGATTTCTGATAATTATTGCTAGAATAAAATATTTGACAACCCTTGTTGACTGAGTGGACAACTTAGCTGCTGTGGGCGTATGTTTCGTTGTCTGTCAACCTATCTTGTATTTTGTTTTATTTTATGGACATGCATTGTGGGGTTGGATTGTGAGTGGTGCCCTAGATTCCCCCCACCCCCATTAAGAACTTCTAGATCATCTAGGCATACTGTTTGTTGTATGTATTAGTTTCCAAGTTGACAATATTGAAAGAGATTGGACAGTGTATATTATCTGTTTATTTGTTGGGGGGGGGGAAACTTTTTTTAAATTTTGAAATAGCCTGTGACTTGTTTTGTTGTTTGAGGTGTGTGTGCCTGATAATCCGATAATTAATAAAATGACAGGTTGAAGGGAGGTAACTCCATTTTTAATGCATAAAAAAATGGCCAAAAAGTAGAAAGGGGAGCAGTTAGTTATTATTTATTTTAATAATGAATAAATATTACTAAACAGTGCTATTTGTATGATCCGTACAATGTCAGTAATGTAAGTTTACCTCTTTAATATAAATGCATCCTAGTTTTTGCTTTACTGAAGAATAACATTGATTAGTGAGTTATCCCCTGCAGGCATTATGGACTGGCCCCTTTCTACTTCCTGTTTGTGTTAGAAACCGTGCTGTGTGTTTTTGTTGTTTCATGAGTTGATTATTATATGGATCTATGAAGCAAGGGGCAAGGAAGGCATTTAATTAAACGAAAGAAACAGGGCAACGTTTTCTTAGACTGTTTTAAATTATTGAGTACCAACTGCTAAAGATTCTAGACTGTATTCTGTAAGATTGTCCTATCTATTACGTCATCAAAATGGTTAAACTTACCACAGAACTTATGACAAGAGGTACTTCAGGCCATAACAAGAAAAACAGAGAAGAAACACAAAGTCACTATTTAGAACGTCTAACACATCTATATTTAGAAGAAAGGGGAATAGATGATGTAGGAGAAGAACTGGGTTTATGTAGAAATTTAGTCGCTTTATATCTTTATGACAATCAACTTTCAAGAATACCAAAACTTAGCCAAAATCCAAACTTAACCCATCTTTATCTTCAAAATAACAACATAAGAAAAATGGAGTGTTTATCCAGTCTTCGAGATCTTTCCAAATTATATATAGGTGGAAATGCAATTACTGTTTTAGAGGGTATCGAAAATCTAAAGAATTTACAAGAATTACATGTTGAGAATCAGCAGTTGCCATCTGGGGAAAAATTACTGTTTGAACCGAGGTCTTTAAAGACTATTGTATCATATGTTCAAGTGCTGAATGTTTCTGGTAATAATCTTGACAGTATAAAAGAACTCGAAAAAGCTGTTAATTTACGTCAACTTATGGCAAGTGATAACAATATTACAGATATGAAAGAGTTGTCTCATGTTTTAAGTAATTTGACAAAAATATGGCGATTAGAGTTGATAGGGAATCCTGTTTGTCACAAATCAAAATACAGAGACAAAATCATTGTCATGTGCAGAAAACTAGAATTATTAGATAGCAAGGAGATAACAGATACATCTAGACAGTTTCTACATAATTGGCAGGCATCTAAAGATGCCCAGAAAAGAAAGAAAGAAGAAATGAATAAACAAGAATTACCTGATGTATTGTATTCAGATCTTCCACCTGTAAAAGGTCCACCCATGCATGCCACTATACCTGGTTATATTATGCCAGGATTACCGAGAAAACAGTTCGAACAACTACTGGTGAAGAAAAGTACGTCTGATAATCTTATTGCAAATGAAACACAATTCGGACTAAATAAAATACCCAGAGCAAAGGTTTTCCCCTAGAATAAACAGTTGAGAGAGTGGAATGTGTGAAGGGAACAAAAACTACAGAACTGAAAGTATATGTACTAATCGCAAGGTCATTAATCACTGTAATGTTGCAGATATTAAAATTGCATGTAACCGTTGGTGATATATCAAAACTTATAAACCATATAATATATATAACTGTTTTCTGTGTTATTACTGTGGAGTTTAAGATCATCTATATTTACTAATTTCAAATACTGATGAAACCAAATTCAGAACAGATTTTCATATGTGCTACTTATATTCACTGTGAAGAAGATATTGTTAAAAAATAATCAAGTTGGGATGCCATGTCATTTATCCTCTACATTCTCCAACAAAATATAAATATTAGCATTTATACAATAAATTGAAGTTTATTAACTGGAAGTCTTTTGACAATCGGGATGTTCCAGTCTAAGTTGTTACAGTGTGTGTTGTGTTGGTTATCTGGTTGTTGTGTGCTCTGACAATTTTATTCAGTTTGTGTGTTAAAAATATGCCCCTCCCACCCAAATAATACAGTAGCAATTTGTATTGTTCTATTCCAAGTCTTGGTTCAGTGATGTTGTTTTTATTACCATAGAGAATTATAGGGTAAACTATTTTGTGAGAACTTACGGATTGTGACAACTTATGGATTGTTTTGTTTTGTTTTTACTAACAGGACACAGACTCATTCAAAGTACATGTAATAGTAGGACAAATACATTTATTAAATGTGTGTGTTTTTTGTCTGTAGTCTCGACCCAAGTTCTTGTGTTGGTATATTATTATTCAAAGTGGCACAACTGCGAAGTGAAAACCGTATTGCTTATTATAAATATTGTTAATTTATTATTTGTGTAATTATTCATTATTTATTTTCAGATTCTATGTGCATGGTGGAACTCCATATTTTATTATAGTTGTGAGAGGATCAAAATATTATGATGAATTTTTAAAACGATATAAAATTGCTTCATAATCATTATATTGTTTTGTTTTTACACATCGGTGTCATCTTGGTCATGGTAGGAAACGAGACAGTATTTATTTATACCAGGTAATTGGGTCATTCCACGTCAAGTGAACACACTTTTATGACACCGTGCCTCGGATTTTGACCTAACTTGCAGGGATTGATGTCCAGCCTGAAAGAAAACACTATACCATGTTTTGGGTCATTTGGCCTAATGGAACCCATTTTAGGGGTCACCAAAGATTTGGGTCATTCGACTGACTTCGCAGCTTCTACCAGCCATAACTCAACACACAGTTGTTCAATCTTGATCAAAATACTCAGCAGACTGAGCCCTTTCATTTGACGTAAGGCATGATGTTCTGCGATGATTTTTTTAGGAAAACATCTTTTTGTGTAACCTTTGATCTTGACCCATTACCAGGATCACAAATCGATCAGGTCATTTTTTTGCCCAAATACACACCACAAATCAGAGTGGGATCTCCATGGGAACACGGTCAAAATGATCACCAAACATGCCATCCAGTTCAGCTCTCACATAGGTGCCAACTCGTCATATACTAATTAATTCGACAATAGGCCCACTGTAACATCCCAGCTACGATAACTTTCTGGGCCCATTGATCCAACTCTGAGTTCCCATCATACCAGTCCCATGAACTCCCAGTCTCGTGCTTCCAAGTGCTACAAATGATACGATTCCAGGCCACAGAAGCTCTCATTGCGCTCACGGTAGGCAGGCAGGACTATGGGCATTATCCACACCATAATAGCTTTCACGCAAATGAAGCGATGCCGCCACCCATATGAAGTGTGGATGACACTAAACCGAGACATGCTCGAAGTGAAAAATTTGATATCTGAAGTATCATTTCTATCACACTTCCGTAACAACACTTCAAATTTTCAATGAAATAAAGAAGGCAGCAATGATATTGAAGTGAGGAAGAAGCCATGCCAAATATGCAAATTAGGCTACTTCCAAGTGTTCACTTCAGTGTTTTGCCTAATTCAACCCAGTGTTTATCGGGTGTTTTCCGTTTGCACCATTCACCAAAACGTGAAGCTGTCAAGCTGATGATGGCTGAATGGAAGATGAATGAAATAGCGAACTGGAAACGTGCAGAGATGCCATCGCTAAAGTACTCTGTTGATTCCCCGTTACCTTTAAGGCTTTGTTCAACTTCCGGAAGTGCCAAGTCTGTCGTGATAGTGTGTCTAGCCTGCAAACAGAACTAATGGAGGCCTACGATGACCACGCTGTTGATGAAGTATAATTCTAGCAGTGGACAACGACGGATAGGTCGCAACTTCACACGGTGACTATGCATTTGGAGGAATTTGTCGAAAACGTTTCTGAAAAAGTCACCAGACAACTAGACGGGGAATTTGTGGTTATCAGAGACTTTTCGGAAAACTTTTCTTTTCAGTAGTGCAGGACACGGCCCAAGGCTACCACTGGAATAATGCGCAGGCTACAATCCACCCGTATATATTACTACTAGAAGTGGTCCCACTACTGATGTCTTCCGCCTCACTGCAGCCACAGTAGTGGCTCGTCCTACAGAGTTCCTTTGCGCAAGATTTTTAATCAAATGACTAAGGATAAACGGAGAGAGAGAGAGATAGAAATGGGGTTTAACGTCCATTCGACACAAACTAGGTCATTTCGGGACTAACATATGGTTTATTTTTTTTATTTCAATAATTCGCTTGCACGTAGGGGTCTTTAGCAGTGGGGGGGGGGGATGGAGGACCCGGGGAAAACACACGTGGTTGGACAGGCGAACCTACTTCTTGTCACGTGCAACCGGGGATTCGAAACCACGCCAGTTGACTCAATGATGAGGATGAACGGATTGAGGCTGTAGCCTAACCTCCCATTATTCATCGGAAATTCAACTGGCTACGTACGTCACTGCCAAATATGGCAGACATTGGTGGCTGGGTTATATAACGGAATTCCGGCAGGTAACCGGGGAAATTAGGATTAACTTTATCATTATTATGGATCCCAGATGAATGGTACGAGTAGATAAATCGGACATATATACTGTTATCAGTCGAACAGAGACAGGATGCACCTACCCTATAGACTTTCTAAAAGTGAAATGACCGAATCAAGTAAAGCTCTGTCAAAGAGACTGTAGTGGTATGTTCCCTTTAAAGGGACAATAACACTCTTGCTGGCTTGAAAGCTCCAGAAAATAAATAATATCTCTAAGTACTAGATGTTTAAGTGTCCTACCTGTTGTGTAAATTATCCATTACATCCTATTTTACTTGTCCAGAGGGTTCGAAAATATTTTTAAATCGAAGTTTCATTTGAAAAGGTTTACGTTAGACGTTTCAAACCATTATGTTGAATTTTTCTAAATTTTTAAATAAAGTGTGTTAAGATGAAATTTGTATCATCAATTACTTGAAATATTCTAAAATAGTACAATTTGTTGACCAGAATAAAGATTGGGACATATTATTCAGCTACAATAAGAGTGGTAAAAATTGAGCCTTTAAATACCTTAAGGCCTATAACTGTCTAGATGTCATGAATATGTATAACTGGTGCACGCGCACATCCGGGTACTTGACGACGGATTGTCGTCGCATGGTACGAAGCAAAATAAACGTCTATCTACAAGACAAGTCTACATTGTCGTATCATCTATCGCTAGCCACCATGGGCAGCACTAACACAACAGAGACATTGATTACAATATTGTTCTCTTGTGGTCAAAACAAATAACTATTATGTGACGGCTTTAACAGAGAGCATGTAGGGGTACCCATCTTTGGTGATCATTTTGACCGTGTTCCCATGAAGATCCCACTCTGATTTGTGGTGTGTATGACGATTATATAGGATATGTCATTTTGGGGCAAAATAATGGCCTGATCGATTTGTGATCCTGGTAGAGGGTCAAGGTCAAAGGTCACACAAAAAGATGTTTTTCGGAAAAATCTCAGAACATCGTGCCTTAAATTACATCAAATGAGAAAGGGTTCATTCCGCTGCGTATTTTGATATCAATATCATCGAGCTGAGTTATGGCTGATACGATGATAGAAGTTTCGAAGTCAGTCGGATAGCCCAAATCTTTGGTGACCCATAAAATGGGTCCCATCAGGCCCCATGACCCAAAACTTGGGACAATGTTTTCTTTCCAGGTGAACAACAATACCTGCAAGTTAGGTCAAAATCGGTGACATAGTTAGTATCATAAAAGTATATGTAGCTTACATTTGACGTGGATTGTCCCAATTGTTCTTTACTCGTTTTGTGCAAGTGTTGTTAAATCCACTTTAGTTATAATACCTGTATTTCATGTAAATCCACCATGTAGTTTATAAAGTGCATATAATTTTATTATAAAGAGTAAGTCTGAAGGAGTTTTTAAAATGTGGGAGTGAATCACAGTTGAACTGGCAAAGCAGGCAGGTATTAATGTACATTGTCATCGAGGTTACGGACAAGAAAAATAAATCTTTGTTCTATTTAGTATGGCTGATTCTTGTTGAAAAGGTGCAACTCTGAACTTTACTTAATAGACTGTTGTGTTCATGATGTGTCCTAACTCCCCTGGAAAGTGATGTAATGATAGGTTGCCAGTGTCGGCAAAACATAAAAATTATGCATCCATTAAGAATTGCTTTTGTGGGCATAATTCGAACAATTGTCTGATGTGAAATATTTAATATATTTTTATTACCAAAATGAACTCTTTAATACACCATCAAAATTATAGAGTTCACATCACGATCCTGTTTGTCTTGACAGCAGTTTTACTACCAACATACAACAGCCATTAAGCTACCCACATCATCTGAGAAACCATCACATTTCAATGATCAGCTAATTAACTTAAAATCCCATTAGTGTTGTAGGATCGACTTCTGTCAGTACAAGCCCTAAAACCACCAACATATCCCGTCATGTCAGCAAATATTGAATAGAAGGATGGAGTTTAATATCCACTCAACACAAACTAGGTCATTTTTGTATCCATGTGGTTTATGTTTATTTCAATAATTTGCTTGCTCACTAATGTCTTAAGCAGTGGAAACCTGCAAGATTAAACAAGAGACCCTAATCATTGTCAAGTACAAGCCTGGGGCTGAAACCACAACACTAGATTCAATGATTTACAGAGCATGCGTTAAGTCAGCCCACCTCCCTTGAAAGGATACAAGTTACCATAATTGTACAGATAACTTGGATTTATATTAACAGCATTTTTTGGAAATGAAATGGAGTTTAAAGTCCTACTGTTCTGCTCCGAACTGGGCTAATAAAGACGGGCATGCACCATGCAGTGTGCTATGAGGGAAATTTTGCCCGGGCAGCGGCACTATCGCCTACTCTTATATCGAATTCCAACTGCCAGGAGATCTTTTACGTGCATTGCAATATATACACAGGACCTCGGTTTTTCGTCCCATTCGAACGACTAGACAGCTGTCCTTGTCAGGCCCTCCGTTCTACATCACTAACAAGGGGGAACCACGTCGGGAAATCTGGATAAACTTTCTTGGCCAATGCAGGGATTGAACACCCGACCTCCAGGCTAGTGAGCCAGCATCTTACCCACTTAGCCACCGTGACCCCTAACAGCATTTGGACATTTGATACTATATGTACCTGGTAATGCATTCATATCTGGAGAGAGAGAGAAATGGGGTTTAACATCCACTTGGCACAAACTAGGTCATTTGGGGACTAACATATGGTTTAATTTTATTTCAATAATTAGCTTGCACATAGGGGTCTATAGCAGTGGGAGAAAACTGGAGGACCCGGAGAAAACCCACGAGGTTGGACAGACAACCCTTCTCCTTGTCACGTACAACCGGGGATTCAAAACCAGGCCAGTTGACTCAATGACAGGCCTCATGATACAGCGCGCACGTGCTAACCATTCGGCCATCCAAACACACACACACACACACCCCCGCCGCATTCATATCTGGAACAATTATTGCTATATATCTCATGATATACTAGAAGGAAAAAAATCAACAAAACCCTTTAATCAAAAGAGAATAAAATCTGTGAAATTTATTGAAAAGATATAAAAGGGGTCCCCATTTCACTACTAAACCAGTTTCATCAGCCTTAAAAGGTTGATTTTAATGTGGTAACAACTGAAATTATTTTATTTCTTGTCCCACAAGTGAAAATATTAACAACATCCATAAACAGAACAAAATATAAAACAAACAGATTTTACTAACATGTTTACAACCTTTCCTCAATTATTTGTATATTTAAATATTTTAAATTATCGGGAGTGAAAGAAAATATCAAAGTTAAAATGAGACCAATTGGCTATCAAAATCACATCAGTGTATAATTTTCTGTCTTTGGTGCAAACAAATAAAATAGTTTCAAACAAATAAAATAGTTTATGTACCATATATTATATATATGACACATATAATAAGAAATATATAAGAACGATCAACATAATTTTCCAGCTATCTTAAAAGGAATGAAACCCTAGATTAGAGCTACATATTAAATAGTGAGAATAGTAATGAAATCGAGAAAATTTAACCTTCAACTGATGTGTAAATTTGTTATGTCTGCACAGAATGAAGATAACTACCAAATACAGCTATAGTCCTGAATCCCGATATCCTCATATGTATTGCTTATGTCGGTTTCATTTTTTTTTACAATAACATTTTGGGGTTTACATAAATTTAAATGATCACAATACTTTTCATTATACAAGCATAACATAATACATCAATTACAATTAAATTATTTGTAAGTAATGACATTTTTGGTATTTATTTGAGTAATATATAAATATGCAAGCATAAATAGTTAAATGGATTGAATCTACCTTCACATAATATTTCTACACATTAAAATTTACTAGACACAAAATCATCAATCGAGATCCGTAATACAAATTAAAACTAATGATGTTAATAAGATCCAGACTGCAGATCGGGCCTGAAGATATCCACCCCCCATTCTCTACGACAAACAGTTAATTTGCACGTCATTAGACCATCGGGATTTCTCCATCCTCAGCAAGGTTTCGGAGCAATCCGTCATCAATACTGTCCGTCACAGTTGTGGTTCATATCTTCAGGTCAAAGGTCATATTACAGAAAGTGTTCCCAAAAAATCAGATTGTTTTGGAATTTATAACTATTTAAATTACAGATGTGACCTCATCCTTTGATGTTGGCGTACCATTATTTCAAATAATGGTACAGGCAATATGCCATACTAGATTATTTATATGTATTTCATTGAAAGGCACATGCTGGATAGTGTCTGTATTTTAAGTTTTTTAATGGTCTTGTGCAAGACAATGCGTAATAGAGATATACCACTCGTGCAAAATCAATATATTACTTAATGTCTCACACTCGACCATTAAACTAAACTACACTTAATATTGTAAAAGTCCTTGTGAAATTCATTTCATATCATTTTAATTGGACCTTATAAACAGTGAAGTGTATAAACATGATGTTATATCACATTATTGTATCAAAAATATGCATAAAATCGAGTTTAAAAATTAGAGACTATGGAAGACCAAACTAATATAGTTATGTTATTGTAACGTGTAGTTGGGTGTTCCATAGTTTCATTCACTAACCCATATATGGCACTTGAAAACAAAGAGCCACTTAAATACAAACTACATGTAAGAAATGCCCTTATATAATAACAATCTTTTAGTTTATTATTTCTAAAATGTCTGTTTCCATGGTAACATAAAAATAAAAAACACTGTGTGTAATATATCCTATCATTCTACAATCCTGATTTAACACATCACTTTTCAAAATACTCCAACATATCTTTTTCTATGGACTGAAAAAAAAAAAAAAAAAAAAAAAATCAATAGCCATATGCTACAGAGATAATGAATACATTATTTATTACCCATATATCTAATACCAAGATACAGTGTAACCTTGGATTTGTTTTGTCAATTTAATGCTAATTGCTTATCATACAAATCATCCAACCATGAAATGATTTTAATGAAGCTCATTATTTAATGACACAGATGTTAAAATTTTAATTAAATGCAGTTGATTTGTTACCCCTGATAGTCTCAGGAAATTAATTCAAATACCATATTAATTTAACATTAATTCTACACTCCATATGTAAATAAATTACAGTACTTACGTTCGGTTCAACATTTGGTGCATATCTTTTAACTGGTTTGCCAGCTTTATCAACTAAAAATTTACTAAAATTCCATTTTATAAAGCTGAAAAATAAAAGAAGACTTGTATTCGATGTTTCAAAGATATTGGAATCGTCAAATGCAGTAGCGTTTAGAAAATCTGTGGGTTAGCTGGTATTTTAAACAGATAATCTATAATTCTATTTGGCCTGCCGAGAAATGGCCCAGAATTATTATTATTGTACATTTTTATAGCACACAACTTCCACGACTAAATGCTAACATGTGCTTTACAAAATATGGTACAGAAATTAAATACAAATAAGACATCCATGTAAAGATTGAAATCAACATAAAAACATATAAATTTCATTAATGAATTACATGTATGGTTATTGTCTTTTTATAACACAACATGTGATTAGATATTAGATTTCGAGATAAAGATCTTTTACATACTGTATACCTTTGCTATAGAACCAGTAGATATTACTCAAAATTATAGATACTTTCAAAAATAAACAAACACACATTTTTGTGACTTTCACCACAATCTAAATAACCGATGTTACAAAAACAAAAAATGCTCTGGGACATATTTTTGTCATCAAAGACCCAACATCACAACCTATTTATTTATCTTGTCTCGCACTTGTGAAATAAGTCCAGCCATTGAAACCAGAATAGCTCATTACGTGGTCTCAACTAAGACTGTTTTCCGGAAAATAAGTGGTTATTTTGCAAGCAACACCTTTTCTGACCATGGACGAAAAAGTCGACATTGCATTTTAATCATCTTACCCAACTCACATCAACCATCTCACATATCCCGCAATGTTGGTAATTATTCCATCAACATTCTCACATATTCCGTACTGTTCTACAATGTTGCCAATTATTTTATCCCAAATGTTCCCAAATTTTGGAAAATAAATACTCAGATATGAAATGTCTTAACAGTAAACACAACTATGACCCTCTTTAGCACAATCATTGGGATAATTCTCATCATGTTCTTAAGAATTCAAAAAAAAATGACTAGGATACATCCCCTATATTGTTGACTTACTTTCCAAAAAATCCTTTCTGTTCATTTTTCAGGTATTTAAATAATGGATGTGCATCATCCCCATTAACATTAATTTTACTAAACATGTCGAATTGAACTCCATATTTTCCTGTGGCAAATTTTTTAATTTCTTCATCAGTGCCGGGTTCCTGAAATGAATGAATAATTTGTATTAATTCCTTAAATTAATGCCTAGAATTTTTTTTTATCAAAGATTACAATATTCACTGTATTCATTGAAGCAATCTGATTAAAATACAGATCTATATTTCGTTTCGTTTTTTTATAACTTCGATGGCCTACACTACATGTATATGAAGATCTGACAAGGGGTCGTACGAACGGCTTTTGACCCTATGACGTCAGACATTGATTAATCAATCAGCGTTGCCGTCTCTAGTGGTTTACCCACAGTTCCGTGCATGGCACGCCAAGAAGTCGCCTTAACAGACTGTTTCATTGGCTTATCCCTCACTTCAACCAAAACGCCGGTAATATAACAACTCTTCCAGATCCTAGTGTAGTAAAGACAAGTAAAACAAAATTTAAAACTATAAAAAACGAAATAGAATCTGTGTTTTAATCAGATTGTCATAACCTTCTGGCTCAATGTTCCAATATACTGGTTTTGTTCATAAGACCGTTAACAACATTTTCTTAGGTTAAAAAATAAACGCAAAATACATTGTAGGCCTATGAGTGTCATTAAAGTGCAGCAGCTAGAGCTCACTTTGAAATCATTTTTTTTTTAAATGCATACATGTAATCAAAGACTTACATGTACTGAGTACCGATATTAAATAGCACTAGAGACTTACATGTACTACATATAGCATCAGAGACTTACATATGTACTAGAAACCGGTAATACATATAGCATCAGAGACTTACATGTACCAGATACTGGTAATATATATAGCATCAGAGACTTGCATGTACTAGATACCGGTAATACATATAGCATCAGAGACTTACATGTACTAGATACTTGTAATACATATAGCACCAAAGACTTACATGTACTAGATACCGGTAATACATATAGCATTAGAGACTTGCATACTGGTAATACATATACTGGTAATACATATAGCCACAGAGACTTACAATGTACTTAGGTACTGTTAATACTGAATACATATACTAAATACATATACTGGTAATACATATAGCCACAGAGACTTACAATGTACTTAGGTACTGTTAATACTGAATAAACTTAATTTAGTATTTATTCTGTCAAACCAGACTGCAAACTGTATTATCTCTTTTTTTATAGATAAACATTTTGATAATATCTTCTGTTATCTGTGTTACATGTTCAGACCTCAACATTGAAACTGATCTCCACAGCTGCCTTCCCAATGTAGATAACTGACAATCACTAATTAATTTATCTTTTGATAAAGCATCTAACAATCATATTGTTTATCACTCTCTATAACTAAAAGCGGGTTATGATCAAACTTCTATTAGTCAAGGTATTGATATAATGAATCTTTACACTAAGTCTCTGTCAATAAAATTGATAATCTCTACTTATCCTCAAGTAGAAAATGTTCTTCATCTAACTCAGTCAAGGCATTCATCTAATGAATTAAGAGAGAAATGGGTTTGACATGCACTCAACACAAACTAGATCATTTCGGGATTAACATATGGTTCAATTTTATTTCAATAAATCGCTTGTGCGCAGGGGTCTTTAGCAATGGGAGGAAACCGGCGGAGGACCCAGAGAAAACCCATGAGGTTGGACAGGCGACCCACTCCTTGTCATGTACAACCAGAGAATCGAAACCATGCCAGTTGACTCAATGACAGACCTTATGATGCAACGCGCATGCGCTAACCATTCAACTGCACCAGAGCTGAACATCTTACCTCAATTAGAAGCAAAGTGATTGTGTTCCAAAAAGTGTACATGTATCTTTAATTTTACATAGTGTATATTCCAAACTGTCCTCACCTGTCCTCCAAATTGATTACATGGGAAGCCTAGGATCCTCAGACCATGAGATTCAGCATACTTGACGTGCAAAGCCTGTAGCTGTGTATAGTTTTTTTCGGTAAAACCTCATTTAGAGGCTACGTTTACCACCAGGCAAACATGACCCCTGAAATTAGAAAACATTCACCAATTAGATCCTTATTACAGCCAATCGAATGTCTTCCAGTTTTTTCTTTCATACTATAAAAAAAAATAAACCAAAAGGCAACCATTAGGATTCCAGTCAAGCTACAAAATATAGTAAATTGTACTAATCTGGGGCCTGTTTCACAAAATTTTAACTAAGATAAAATCCAAATCTTAATAATTTGATTGGATAATATTAGATTGATTTTAATGCTTAGCCAATCAAAATTGAAGTATCTACTAAAATTTGGATTTTATCTTTAGTTAAGATTTCGAGAAACAGGGCCCTGATTGTTTAATTAAGGATATTAAACTGATTTTAAATACAGAAAACAGAACCATTAAATCCACAGTCAATCCTGTAATACTAATAGACAGATAGAATTATAATTCAAGGATTTACTTATTCAATAGGTTGGAGGGAATTATGTGTTTTTGTTGATATTAATTATCAAAATCTATACATTTCTAATTTCCAAGTTTGTTGAAAACAGGATTGTTTATTTAGTATAGCTGATATCTGTCTGTAAATCAAGACAAAAAAAAAGTATTATAATAAATATTTAAATACCTATATTTTTCTAAATCGACTTCATTTCCATCAATGTCTGTAGCCTTAAATTCATATATTGATTTGGCTTCCTTCCAAAAAATTTTATTGTCTGAGGCTGCCTGCAAATACACATGTTAAAGTTTATGAATACCTATATTACAAAAATAAATCTGCAGTTGAGAGTCAAGAGGTTCTCATTAAAATTGTTAGCCTCATTTCTACATAGCTTGTTGGCATGAATACATGTTCTAGCTGAATGTTGTTAGAAGTCAGCTATCCAGTCTCGAGACTAACAGATGAGGCCTGGTTGCGCAGGTTTAAGACTTTGAGGAATGGAATGCAGGGATCAACATCCTTAAGCCATTTTACAAGAAAGACATAACTAAGGCCATTTTATAAGAAAGACATAACTAAGGCCATTTTATAAGAAACACATAACTAAGGCCATTTTATAAGAAACACATAATTTAGGTCATTTTATTTGACAAACATACAGTAATTGTAATTTCTGTTACATGTACAAAGTGGGGAGGGAGAGAGACTTTGCCCAAAATTTTATACCCAAATTGGTCTACATGTTTACATCTAGATTAAAGTCCCACCTTGAGTCATAGTCCACCTGTCACAGGCAAGAATTTTTGCAGGAGGGGGTATGCCAGGTTCCTGTTAAGGTAATTTGACAGTTAGTTGACAATGCATGATGCCATCATCATCTCCAAATTTTGTAGGCATACATACACACTGAGCTTTTTAAAGAGAGAAATCCAACACCCCATTTGACCTCAGTTTGTATTATGAATTAATAGGATCACATTGCAATTCATTTTCATTGATGCAAAGCATTAATTGTGATATCACATACATGTATGTCTATGTCATTATCTTGCGCATTGAATATGCCCATCCCATTCCACCATCTTATGATAAAGGATAAAGCACACGACCGTGACACGTTTCTCATAAAAGTGTTGTTTTATAAAAAAAATTTATGTAGCTCAGCAGGGCGGTTTGGAGCCCCCAAACCCCATCTGAAGACAATGTTCGGCTCAAATCAGACTTTATCAACTAGACACAATTCCTATGGTACATGCCCTTTTGTCATATTTTTTATTTTATCTGTAATGCATGATTGGCACATTGTTAACAAATACAATGGTGTTTGACATTTTGGCAGAGTGCAACTAAAATAACTTTCCATGTATTTCTATGCCTAAAATAAATGCTATACAACTGAATGACTAATCTATTTAAATATGTGTCCAAGACTCAGACTAAAGTGAACATCCGGGTCACCTTGTGCTAGATAAACTAGTTTAAAGATTCGGTAATCACTCACAATAATGAAACTTCTTTTTGGCTTCCTGCATAAGTTTTATGCATTCGTCTGCTTCACCGTAAGGGAAACTAAATAGATGTAAGTTTTAATTATAAATGGACTGGGGGGGGGGGGGTCTGGCTGAAAAGTTCTAAGCCTAGAAACTGTAGAAAGTCGATGGTTTCCATTTATTTTTCGACATACTTTTGCCAACCATGTTGCAATGCCTGGATGCCGGTCAGGAAGAAATTTTCTTCAGCCACCCTAAAAAAAGTTGTTCACTGACAATATGTTGAGTGGTCATTCGTTGATAAGACATCACCATGTCGTGCTCCCGGGTGATTGTTTTCTTTAATGGTTGCTGTTTGATAGCCTTCCAGGACGCTGGTCATCGTCATGGCTCTTTGCCACACTTAATTCCACAGCCAACTTCTTTACTGTGGAAAAGGGGCATCATCACCTAAAGTGGAGACCATGTCGGCATGTATTGGTGTTGGGGTTAGTCCTTTCAGTTGCAGATACTTGAGAACTGCCCTATAGACAGTTTTGTCCATTTCTGGTGATTTCAATGGGCAGGGTCATTAGATGGTCTGATACGAAGAGAATATTATTACTATGGTTGCAGTTCTTATGTCTATGATTCATTCAGTGATTGTAATTGTTGGTGGTAAAAGTATATTTCAACCCAATTGATCTATCCTTTTCAGACTTAGAACTTTTCAGCCAGTTCTTGTTCATTGTATTTGCCGAGATCACTAAAATAATTTTTATAGGATTCAGACAGTTTCTTGTGCCAAATGAATGGGAAATGGGGTATCAAATTTTAGTATACAAATAAATGTATACAATTGTAAAATATGCTGAAAAGTTCGAAAAAATTCTGCAGAGAAGTAAACAAATACCACTACATGTAATTGTAATACTGTAAATGTACATAATCAGTCTTGTGCCATTAATTTTGCACTTTCCATCAATAACTAATCTATTTAGAAATGTCCACTGCCACTCTAATTAATGTAAGATTTTTATATGGTGCGACAATAAAGGCACCCCCACATGACTCATGTTACCATGTGTACATGTACAAGTACACAATGTATTAATACGGATATGCTATATTTATTAAGGTGGATAATATATGTATGTCAACTACATTATGAAAGGTCATGAATGAATACAAACAGTTATACTGGGTACACCCTTAATAGCATCATTATCAATTCTAGACATTCGCTTACTAAAAGTCCTTTGAATACAATCTTTACTATGTATTAAGGGGAGTGACCTATATTCATTGATGAGAAATGCCAAGTCATAATATTATATTGACCAATATAGATAAATACTGGACAAAGGATTTTACTATGCCCTTTGGTACTCAGATTTGTTGACAGAGCAAACACGTGTCTCAGTATCGTAACTTAGTACAATTAACACAATCATTATACTGTATACTACTATGACTACTTTTAATTTCAATGGTGTAACTGAAAAACAACACCAAGTTCTATTTAAAAAGTATAATATTGCTTTTTAAGCTTCAAATACATGTACATAGGTTTCATGTACCATGTTTGTGTTAGTGTGATTGTGAATACTAGTTTGATGACAGAGTACTAACATGATTTAAATTAAAATATCTATATATTTACAATCCAAAGTCCAAAGCTTTTAGTATAGAACACTACCATCATGTTTACATTCAGTTTTTTTTTAGCTCTGGAAGGGACTACAGGTTGTCTCTCCACCAATCTGCCTGTTATTTTGATATTCCAGAGGGTTTTTTTAAAATTTTATTTAAACTTTAAGACATTTGATTGAAATATAGTAATACCGTACTTAGCACACTGCCATACTGCTAGCAGTGTTTCATTTGATTAGACCTAATAGAGGGATTTCTCAGGCCAGTGCTTCAGGAATATGGTACACTGCTTGATTATGTCAATTTTCTACTGATTGATGGCCCTACTTGTTGACTTTATTAAAATCAATGGTAATTATTTTTTCGGAAATTTTCAGGTTCCGGTATTTGATTGAAATTCAATTTAGAAGGCTATCGGTACATTGTTTTACATACCAGTAAATACAATGAAAGTTCAGTTTTACATATTAATCTATTTCATCTATACGGGCCGCATCTGTATAACTTATAAGCTTACTTATTCGGATCAATTCAAAGAAATGTATTCATCATAGTATCAATCTCTTATAAGTTATAGATAATGGCATTGAAAAATTGTAGGAGCCGGTCAGGATGTAGTCATAACGGCCCTATGCCATAACGGCCAAAAACAGGTTTGGTCAAAACGGCCCTACTTTAGTCATAACGGCCAAACAGTTTGGTAATAACGGCCCAAAAATTTGGTCATAACGGCCAAACATTTTTAATTTAATGAAAAACAATATATCTGAGCAAATATATTGATGTTTAAAGATTGGTGAAAATTGGTAAAAACATACAAACGTCCGTGTATATCAAAAGTCTCCTTAAAATTGGTTTAACACACAAAATAAAAAGTCCTTGCATATTAAAAAGTCAATTTAAAGCACACTTATAAAATCGCTGTCATGAGAAAAAGGGCGGGTCATCTTCTCCCTTTGTCATAATAAAAACACGTTAAAAAAGGAGGTTCTATGGCGCCATCAGTGCGGATAGAAAAAAAATGCTTGCTTTACGTGGATGACATAAGCCACTCAAGAGCTGTGGATATTGCCTTTAATTAGTAGATGAAAATGGATATATACATGTACATATATGTCAAGAAGTCTTCAACTGGGAGACAGGAAAACAAAACATCAAGTGGTGCTACTGTTACATGTATACAAACCATGTGTCCTGAAGAATTTGTCAGTGGAAAAATAGCCCATAACCACCCAAGCCAACCGGCAAATTACATGCTGTAATTCAAAGGAAAGAGGTGAGTACTAATTAATCAACTGATTGGATAATCCCTAATTAGGTACTTCACACCCTCTGATCTGATTAGGTAATATATGATAAACATTAACCATTTATTTTTTATCAAATAAAGGTATGAGAAATGGCCATCTCCAATCCATTCAGACCAGCCAGGGTAATATTTGAAGAAGTAGCAAATAAAATTTTAGAAGAAGATTAGCCAATTTACTTCTGCCACTCCAATCTGCTCTGATGTTTGAGGGGAAATATTTGATAAAAAAAAATAGAAAAGAAAGACAAGATGAAATTTTCAATTCGTGGAACAAGTACAAAGAAGGTAGTATCAGTGTGTCGATGCTGCTAGGGATATGTACCAGAGTTCATGGTCCAGTAGTGTAAAGAAGATATACAATGTAATATCTATATTTCATGTTTTTTTAATGTACTGTATTAAATTAATGTTTATGTAATGTATGTATTTATATTATCTATTTTGCAATAAATGTTGTTTTGTTTGTGTATTAAATTAATGTTTATGTACATGTAATGTATGTATTTATATTATCTATTGCTTAAAAAGAACTTTCACTTGTTTAAAGCGAAAGCTCGAGAATTCCTTCATTCTCTTCCATGTAAACTTTTTGCATTAATAATTTAATGTAGTTTTTGGAGTGGATACCCATGTTTGATCCATATGTACATGTACAGTAGTATACTATTACTACCCTTACCCTACAAATTGAATAAGGTTCAAAGCCCACACTGACATGTAATACTGTGCATATGTACAATGTAACAGAACATAATTGTCACAAACCCAACTTAGATAGATACGGGTGGCTACTGTTACTTAATAGGTAAGAGAGAGAGCGAAATGGGGTTTAACGTCCACTCGACACAAAGTAGGTCATTTCGGGACTAACATGTGGTTTAATTTTATTTCAATAATTTGCTTGCGCGTAGGGGTCTTTTAGCAGTGGGAGGAAACCGGAGGACCCGGAGAAAACCCACGAGGTTGGACAGACGACCCTACTCCTTGTCACGTACAACTGGGGATTCGAAACCACGCCAGTTGACTCAATGACAGGCCGTATGATAACCATTCGGCCACACAACCCCCCACTTAATAGGTAAAGATTAATGTTTGTAACTTAATGTATGGAAGCAATTTCTGGTACATAATTATTGATTTAACAATATTTAGCAGTCAGTCACTACAGAGATTTCAATGTAAATGTATGAAATTTGAGGTGTGTATTGAACATAATAATAATAATAATATTCATGATATTGTTCAAAACATTTTTTAAAGATATAAGTGATAATGTCTCTTTAACTTACCGGTAAGTCTGGAACTGTGAAATTTATTTACTACACTTTGACAGTAAATTGTTTAAAAAAAACAACAATAATGGTACATTTTAGTTCAAAGTTGTAAAAAAAGTTAAGTAAATAGAGTCTAGATAACTGAAATGGCAGAAAATGTAATTAACAAAAAAAGCACTGAACAAGAAACACGCGCGTTTACCTACCATGACGGCTGTACAATAAAGACCAACAACAGAACTACTTGACACAGCAGTCAGCCGACCTACTGAATTCCACAAACTTTTATTCAGCCGTGTCAACATAATTCTAGTTTATCACGTCCTTCAAAATTAACATTGAAGGACATCAACGGCTACAGTCTGGATAAATGAATCTACAGTCGTCGATTTTTTTACTTGCCACAGTTTCCCATTTATGATTATGGGCGCGGAACTTACATAACTGTTTGAATTTGATAGGAATGAAAATTTTCGTCGTCAAGTATTTTTTCATGTCAAACAACGAAAGTAAAAAGAGATAATTTTAATTGGGCTGTTCGTGGAACATTTTAATACGTAACTATAGTTTGGAAAACGTCTGATAAACACTTCCGGTTTTGTTATTTATTTTTAATTCACGTGTTTTATTTCCAGTTTTTGTGAAATAGAACTAGGCCTACTTGTCCAGGAAGAACAGGTTTTCAGAAGATGGAACAAGATGAACAGGACACGTATAAACTCTGGAGAATCAGAAAAACGATAATGCAGGTAGATTGGATAAGACACTACTAGTCTACTGCCCATATCTTCACACTCACACAGGATTGATAATTTAGATTGTAAACAACAACTTCAAAAATAAAATCATCCCATCACACACAACTACTGTTTGCCTCAAAGTCAAAAAACGATCATTAAACTTTGTGTTTTTCCCTGTTGCATTAAATCCTCTGCACAATTTACAGTAGCTCATTCTCTAACTCAATAGTAAGTGCAGGAGGACCGCACTAGTACCGTACATGCAAAACAAAAATTTACAAGATAAACCTGCGGACAAGACAGAAAATAGACATTGCACCAAATAAACAAATATCAAATCAAGTGAATGGATCCGGGTGTCAGCGGTAAGCGTCCACTGCGTAGTACAGTCCCGGGCCTGTAGTGACACAGACTTCACTCAAATTTGTAAACAGTCAGGATAAACCTGCGGACAAGACAGAAAATAGACATTGTACCAAATAGACAAATATCAAATCAAGTGAATGGATCCGGGGTTTAGCCATAAGCATCTAATTCGCTGTACAGTCTCGGGCTTGTAGTGACACAGACTTCACTCAAATTTGAAAACAATCAGGAATACAAAAATCATCCAAATTCTTCAACATTAAAAACACAAATTATTTGTCAATCGGCCGCCTATAATAATAAATAAATTTTTATTAAAATCAAGTTATTTCACCTGAACAATTTATGAATTATTTATTGTCATTGATGTAAACGACCGCAAAAATTACCTGTGCGGTGGTCAAGGCTCTACACAGCATTTTGAACTTACTTGTGCAAACATAAGTAAATTTTCAAAACCACTAGCCAAACAAAATTTTCAGTTGCCAAGTCTGAAGATTAGAATAATTTGTCGTATGATATAGCTAAATATATTGTGAACATACATAACTCGTCGTCCTATAATAATAATAAAAAAAGATGTTTTAAACATTTTTTTCCAACTGGGACTCACTGCGAGACTAAGACGGCGGTTGGCGAAGCTTGTAATTTTGCTTGTTTGGGTGGTGTAGCGTCAGTAGCATGACTATCATCATTTTTCCCCAACTGAGACTCACAGCGAGACGAAGTTACTTTACTAGTAAAGTAAGACGATATAGGTTTGATTCGTCTGCTAGCCATGCTGTCAGCTGTCTCGCAAACTTCCGATAAATACAGCGCATGCGCAATGAGAATTTCCTCGCAGAGGACAATGAGATTGACCCAATTTCAAACCAGGAAAGTAACAAGAGTGACATTTGACTGGGATCATTGCCGATTACGTTATCTTTACGGAGAAAAGTTCAGATAGCTATAGTGTTAATTGGGGACTTCAAGATATATGTTCACTCGCCAGAAACCTAGCATTTATAAATATCTGGTCGCCATTGTCAAAATTCACTCGCAAATGCGAGTGTTTCAGTCGCATTGTAGAGCCTTGGCGGTGGTTGTACCTTAGTGTGTGTGTGTTTTTAGTTTTAAATTATAAATTATAGTAAAAACAGCACCGATTGAATGTAAATCAGTTTATATACATTCATATAACATTATTATATGCATTGTGACCCATTTGGGTCCATTTCTAGGTCCCAGATATTAGCAATTTAGCTCCTTTAAATATCCCCACAAACAATTAACAAAACAGTTATTTTTCTAACAATGATAATTTTTTTCACAGCAAAACTTCTATCTAGTATCTAATGTACAGTATGGCATTCACAATGTAGCCATTATGGAGTACAAGTCATGTATTACAACGTTTTGGTCCTGTAACATTTTGGACACAAGCAACTGGTTAGACTCTTTTTGATATCGGTTTAGACTAAATTGCAAATTTTACTTGTTGAGCCCAAAATGTGAGTCCGAAATGTCACGGAATGGAAACGTCATGTAATCGCCAATACGTGATAATGATTTACCTGCAGTGGGAAGCTAGTTAAGTTGTCCACAATCAAATTCGTCTACAGTTACATGTAAGTTGTCCACAAGCACACTGTATTGTGTATGCCCGTCTTCATAAGCCCAGTCGGTGCAGGGAAGTAGGAAATTTAAGCCCATTTGATTTTCATTTACATGTACATTCATCCCTGAGTAGTTTTTCAATTAACACAGTTGAATCATGAAGATAAATGTAATACATGTTAACTTATAATTCTATATATGATAAATACTTTCAGCTTTGTCATGATCGAGGATATTTAGTGACACAAGATGAATTGGATCAAACATTAGATGAATTTAAAACACAGTTTGGTGATAAACCCAGGTAAGAGATTTCTGTTACGATTAAATTAGAAATAAAAACAAATATTCTGTACAAATGATAATTACCTTAGGTTACATGCACTATACACAAACAGACACCTTAGATAGGTGTACTCGCTAGGGGTAAGGAGACATAATTTATAGATGACACTATAGAGCAACAGTCCCACATGAACTCATTGTTTACCTTACTGCATTGTTTTTCTGTACATTAATTACGCTCTGATGTGTTAAAAAGGTTAGTTTTTGTCGTTGAAATGGAATATAATCCCGATACACCGAAATACGATTCTCTTACCAGCGATAAGGACACAGGGAACCAAGTTTTTACTAGCGACGGCTGGTGGGAATTCTTTCAGCGAGGACGCCCATTGTAAGCGATTAGATAAGAAAACTACATAAGCACTTAATGTACATGTACATGTATTGAACTATACAGGGTAACAAACGTTATTTTTAACTTAGCGAGGGGATAAATTTGTCTTCAGATATTAAATATTTATTTTAAATTTTGTGAAAATCTTTGTGAATTCTGTTAAAAATTTCAGTTCAAGTAAAATGTACTTAAGAGGCTGTTATCTCCAACCTGTTGAGTTATAAATTTAATTCTTCATGTCATATTATCTTTACAGTGAAAGAAAACCAAGTCGAAGTGATCTGATTGTTTTAGTTGCTCACAATGATGATCCTACAGGTACATGATAGTTTTAGAAATTGTAATCTGATAGGTTAATTAATTGAAACTTAAAATTCAATGGATGTATTTTAATAAAACCAGGAATATATTTCCCCCCATTGGTACTTGTTTTGGATCCCAGTGCTGTGTGGAAATACCAGAGATAATATAAATTAATTGTCAACCAGGGCTTGTGTGTACGTAAAAGAACCCTTGGCAATTGGAATTTGATGAAGAGTAGGCTATATATACACCTTGACCATCTGGGAAAAATTCCCCTCATAGCCCAAGTAGCACACTCCATTGCGTATGCTGAACTTCATTAACCCAGTTGGTGCAGAAAGGTAGGACGTTAAACCCTAATCATTTCTTTACTCCTTTCCATTTCAAGTGAAATGTAGGGCCCTCGAAATTCATTCCCACAAGCATTGCTTTTTGAAATTACATTTGTGCAACTTTATATATGCATCATGCAGTTGGGCCCAGGTAATATAATTTTTTACATTATTTTTATTTTGAATTCTATTTTATTTATTGTTCTAAAATTATTTTTTTACACAGATCAGATGTTTGTCTTTTTCCCCGATGAACCAAAAGTTGGAATAAAAACAATAAAAACTTACTGTCAGAGAATGCAGGAAGAAAATATATCTCGAGCTATTATAGTGGTACAACTTGGAATGACACCTTCTGCAAAACAGGTAAAGTTTGCAACTGATATTATTATTTATTCCAGATGTTGAAAAACCAATGTTATAAACCATAGTAATTGTTATCATAAATAGTGTTTTATTTGATTTATTCCCAACATTCATAAGGCCATACAAAAAAAAATATTCTAGTTCTCAGAAAATCTGTAGCATGAGGAAGGTTTTTATTTTTGTGTCTTTATTTTGTGAAAGGATCACTACTTGGCTAAATGACTTCTACACACATCAGATTGTTGTGAGAGAGAGAGAGAGAAATAGGGTTTACCGTCCACTCGACACAAACTAGGTCATTTCGAGACTAACATATGGTTTAATTTTATTTCAATAATTCGCTTGCGCATAGGGGTCTTTTAGCAGTGGGAGGAAACCGGAGGACCTGGAGAAAACCCACGAGGTTGGACAGGCGACCCTGCTCCTTGTCACGTACAACCGGGGATTCAAAACCACGCCAGTCGACTCAATGACAGACCTTATGATGCAACGCGCATGCGCTAACCATTCAGCCATCCAACCCCCCTCAGATTGTTGTGTATAGGAAAGTATGCTTATCCAGTATCATTTATGATTATCATCAGGGTTTTGTATTATATTTTGGGGGGTTTAAGTCGATACTTTTTTCCGCGGAAGTTGGGCCTTCGTCTGGATGGAGGTAAAAAAATCAACTTAAAAAATGCCAAGTGATATTGTTTGCTACATATTAGCACTTGTATGGCAAAGTCACGCACAGTGTTTTGACTTTTGCTATTGTTATTCCACACGTTTTTGCTAATCTACACGTTTTCATCTCAGCACGACTATTCTATTGATGGAGGTCGGAAAAACAGTAAATATGACGATTCGACTTATACTCTACATCGACTTAAAATACGCTTGATAAATGAGACTATGGATACATTCTAATTTTTTAGAGCTAGTTCCTGTAACCGGAATAAATTATTGATGTGTGGCAATAAATGAGCCTGCTTTTAATTTTGGAAATAAAAGCAGGTCATGCGGTGGCACAGTATTATCTGAGAACCAGACTATTTTTTTGAATATGGCCTAATCTTTAAGTGTAACATTTTTATGCAATTATAATATTGTTATAACAAAGAATTTTTTATGATGTGAACTATTTAGCTGATAAACAAACATTAGAAATAATTTATTTTAAAAATAAAGAGGGTGCACAAAGTGATCAGAACTAGGAGTACAGATGACTGGGGCACATGTAGAAAAGAATTTTGTCTGCACCTGAATATGGTAATTTTATATAGAGAATCATTCAGATGACTTTTATACTGAAATCTCAACATTTTTTTCAGTCTCTTGTAGAAATGGCACCTAAGTATATTTTAGAACAATTTATAGAAGCTGAGTTATTAGTTAATATTACAGAACACATGGTAAGATTGTATGAATTAAATATAATTTATGATATTCTAAAAAATACAAAGAATTTTATGCTCAGCATTTACACACAAAGAATAATTCACCTATCTTTCAATTTGATTTTATTAAAACTTTTGTATTCTGTATATATGTTGGGGTTTTTTATGATCGAAATTAAGATGGGGAAATTGAAATGGGCTTGCATCTGTTTTGTTTCTAGAGCATATCTAATAAACCATTGAATAAAGATATCTTTGTGAAACTTTGTACACATATTACCCTATTACAGTAGTCCTACCATTTGCTAAATTCTCTGAATACTACTTTAAGAGTTTCCATGGAAACAGTAATTTTATTATGTATAAATATATTTCTTTTATATAATTTTAGTTGGTACCTGAACATGTGGTCATGACATCAGAAGAGAAAGCTGAATTACTTGTTCGATAGTATCCTTTAATAAACATATCAGTATTCAAGTTTCTATTAGAAGATTATAATTAAGCAAAAAATATATTTGACATAATAATAATTTAATTCATTTAATAGTGTGACTTAATTCCAACTACCACTTGAAGTTGACAGTGAATTCTTATAGATATGATAATTGTTGACAATTTTTCTTTATTTTTAAACTTTTATTACTCTTGAGTATGAATGAATGAATGGTAACTTATGATTAGCTTTAACACTCTGCATCATATATTGTTTAAGGTTTTTTTCATTGCATTCTTTCTTTTAGAAAAATAACTTGATATTCTCAAAGCAACCCAAATTTAGTTATGTGTAATTGGTCTGATCAACATCCTATATAGAGTTATGTCCCTTTAATGTATGGTTGCATGTATCAGATTTCTTTATACTCTCAAGTAATGTTATTATAGCTCAATTAATATATATCCTGCATATTTAATTATTTAAAATTATATACATGGATAAATGCATTTATTACCAACTAATCATATAAACCTTAACCATGGATCAGTAAATTAAAGGAAGCCATGATTCCCCGTATACAGTGTGGTGATCCAGTAGCCAGATATTTTGGTTTAAAACGAGGGCAGGTAAAATCTAATTTATTCCATCAAAAATTACATTTTAAGTCCTGGGGCATGTTTCATAAAATTTTAGCTAAGATAAAATCCAAATTTTAGTAAATTGATTGGATAATATTAGATTGATTTTAGTGTTTAGCCAATCAAAATTGAAGTATCTACTACAATTTGGATTTTATCTTTAGTTAAGATTTTCGAGAAACAGGGCACAGATGCACCATTTTAAGCAATAGTAATCATTTACAAACGACAATATGGTGAAAAATGAATCTCTAATAGAACTATCAGTCCAATAATGGTCTAATTCCGTTCAGTATATGCAGAGATATGTAGAATTGAAATTTCATTGATCTTTGTTGTAAGGCCGCCGCCATTTTGTTGTTTACGAAAAATTAATAATAGGTATGTTAAATTGAATGCAAGCTGGGACATTGTCTAGCACTGGTATTTTGATTTTGTTTGCTTAATAAAAAGTTAAACAATATTAGCTTGGATCAGGCTGTTAGAAATACGATATTTTAGCGACAAATGCCATCGATGCATCATTCTTCGTCATTGTTATTAGCTTGTCAAAAATCTAGAACAAAATAAACTTCTAATAGATCTTGTCAGAATATTTATATTCGCCTCGCATAGTCATTATTGTTTTTACCTGTGTGCATCAACCATCCACAAATTGTGGAGAACATGGTAGACTTCTTGACAGATTATTTTATTAGATTAAAACTTTACCTCTTCTCATTTGAGGAGTTCACATGCTGCACATATTTTTATTGAACTTTGGTATTGCGCTTACAGCAATTGTTTTTTGGCTTGTATTACAACTTATAACAAAAACAAATGTATTTTTTAAAGATACATTGCATTTTGATGCTTATGAATGTGAAAGTTGAAAAATTCTATGGATTATTTAAAGTTTGCTCAATTGTTCATTTAGTGATATGAAAAAAGTTGCATCTTTAATGTTCAGTTGAATGTTTTTGGTGATATTGTTTCATTACATAGGTGGAATACCTGTTTAGAAACTTACATCTCAAGTTTTGAGGTTCTCTTACTTCTATACACTCATAATTTCGTATATTTATTTGATTGTTGTCCTTATCTGTTTGTTAACCCATCTGATGGTCACTCCACACTTTCTTGAACTTGTGTTGTAGAACTTACTTTCTGTAAGATTATTTTAAAGGTACATTAGTTAAGAGTTTAATAAAGAGTTGTCCATTCTTGCTATAATAACTCAAAAATAGATGATAAAAAAAGAAAATATTGAAAATTTCAGTCAAATTACTTTATTTTGAACAGAGTTATCACTGTTGGAAGTTTGGACTAGAAATAGGCATCGACTGTATACGCACCGTCTACGACAATTGCCGATTGTTTGATTGACAGACGATAACTCCACCCACATATTCTCAATTATCAAGTAACATTCTCAATGGCAATGGTACCCTCGCTTGGCAGGCCTTTCATCACCAGTTTCTAGTAGTGACATCAGTGACTTAACGGTAAATGTTAGCTTGGTCAGCCATTTATTGATTTAATTTTGAATGGACGACTGTTAGTTTAAATCCAAGCTGTTTCCAAGCCATCTGAGGGTCTACAGAGTTAATTTTCAGCTTGTCATGTAAATAAAGGTCTAATTAATAATTTCTATAACACGTGAAACCTAAATAAAGACTTACAATAGGCAGATTTAGCTCTTGCATAATGTATGTTTTAGGAATTGTTGATATGCTCAATTTTGAGCATTTTCACAAAATTACACCTCATTGTTATAATTGTTAATCGAAATATACCATCCCACTCTTTTGAATCAGTGGTGCAGGATGGAGGGTCCCATGTACACATTGGCATGCACGTGAAAGATCCCTTGGTGGTTGCAATTTGATATAAGAGTCGAATTACCTGAGATGGTCCAAGAGCCAATAAAATAATCTCTTTTGGGTGTCAATGACAGAGAATACTACTATGCTAATAGCAAGTGTGGGGGGACTGCACCTCACACAATTGCACAAAACAAATCTACGGACAAGACAGGATACGTAGAAATCACAAACAAACGTACATATCGGATTAAGTGAATGGATCACGTCTGCTGAATTATGTGACGTAAAAGACGGTAGTTTGCCAAATGACATCAAGAGTTAAATGTAATAAAAACCAACAATTAAAAGGGCGATAATCCAGATAAGACAATGCCAAAAGGTTAATAAACTATCAATTTAGGAACTAATCAGAATTATTCAACTATGTAATTTCACAAGATATAATAAGTAATACACCTATAAGAAATGCACACTAACTAGGTATGTTGAAGAAATCAAACTATAAAAGTGTATTTATATAACGGTGATTATCCAGATAGAATTAGGAAACTGCAGAAAATTGAAATATAATTATTCAATTAGATCATTACCCAATATGTAATCAGTTATATACTTATAAGAAATGTCAAACTTGGTATGTTGAAGAAATAGAAGTTTCGAAATTTCTTTTAAAATACGTAATTGTATTCTGCCTTTGGCAGTGCTGGGGTTTATTATATTGTAGGATTCTGTTCTTGACCTATTTTCATGAAATCCTTGGGAATTTTTTATATTGGGGAGAAGAAAATTCCTGTGGATTTTAAGTGTTTTCTAAACTGTTATAGAAATATAAAAGTTGTTGTCTGACTGATATCCTAGTTAGGCAGCTGGTGAGCGCAAGTTTTCTTGCTTGGCAAGCTATATTTACATTATAAAATTAGAAATCTTTAGAGGGACTAGTAATCTCTATGAAATAGTTCAAAACACAGGTGGGCATATGTTGTTGCCTGGCAAATTCCTAATGGAGAAAGACCCATCCAGAATATAAAATTTTAGTTGTACCTGTTAAAATGTCACTCATTAATAAACCAGTATCTGACTTTTTGAACTTGGTGTCGGCATAATCAAAAATATCAATAAAAACTATGACAGGCACCAAAAGAAATATGGCTTACAAAGCCTGAATTTTTGTCTAAGTCTGTGACAGGTGCCTTATTTCATGGCATGGGTAACACATGTTTGTAGATATTGATTTATTGGAAGAGTTCATAGATCTACACAAAAATATATATAAATGTTTTAATTTTTATAATAATGCAAGACAATAGAACTGTGTACTCATGTAGGCAGGTCTATTAGGGTTGTATTGTGTTGTTATTTTGCTTGTCAACTTATTGGAATAATATGATACCTGTATATTGATGAGACAACAGGTGTTTGTATATTTAGTATGTTTGTTTTATTATTCATTGTTGTATGTATTGAATTTCAATAACATTCGTCACCTACACTGATGGTTGTTTTAATAGGGAATTGGACATAAACTAGAGAATATTAGTTTGTAGTGGAAAAAACACTAATACATTTGATAAGGGGGTCTTTGTTTGGTTATACTTCTTTTTACAAACAGAAAGGCTTCTAAATACATCACTGTTTCAGATAAGTTTGCTAATGTGTGTTAAACTAACTTATAAAGATCAAGTTTCAATTATTTCTTGCAAAATATTGACATAACTGAGCCTACCATATGTATTATATCTTTAATGCTTTTGTCTGACTTAAACTCTATAGTGTCAATTGTTAGACTGCCCCAGGATCAAAAATATATCCAAATATTTCGATAATTATGCAATCATACATGTATACAGTATATATACATTGAAATCATATGTGACAATTCAGAGCCACCACATATGTATGATTGGTTGCATGGCAACCTATCTTCATGCGAAGATTCAGTTACCTATTGTACTGACTGTTCTCCAACTGATTGACTGATTTGAACTATCTATATATAAAGCATTATAGGCGAGTACGACAAGTCAACAATGGTTTTAGATACTGTCTGAAAAAAGAGAGAGAGAGAGATTAATGTCCACTCGACACAAACTAGGTCATTTTGGGACTGACATGGTTCAATTTTATTTCCATAATTTGCTCGTGCATAGGGGTTTTTAGCAGTGAGAGGAAACTGGAGGACCTGGAGAAAACCCAAGAGGTTGGACAGCCTGTCGTTTAAACACATTACACGTTGATCGAAGTTTAACTCATTTCTGAGATTAACCAAGCATTGGGCAACATATGGTAGACCTGTATACCACTATTATTAAACCAGCCAAACATACAGTTTTATGTGTTATTTAACCCCTTTACCCTCTGTTTAAACTAACATCATTCTCTAATACACCAATAATCTCCTACTTAACATATTAATAACTTCCAAAACTTAAATATATAGCCAAATCATTGATTGGTCAGTTCAAATCCAGGCAATGTGTATAAAAATAAATACAACCGTTAAAGCCTTAAGATAAATCGAACACCCGTGTGCCGTTCATACCCTTGAGGTATATGTAGCTCCGCCCCCCAGTGATCTCTAATCCCCAACTTTTTGTCTTCTATTGTCCAGCCTCTATTATTACTTTATTGACCTTTATAGAGATGAAACAGTTGATCCAACCCTTAAATCCCCATAAACTCCCTCGGGCTAAACACAATAATAGTTAAATAACTCTGCTATTTCTCGCCAACCCAACTCTAACAATTTTTGTCGAATCTCATTTACTAGTTCTTGATCCTATAATAGTAGTGATTATTGGGGTGTAGATTTTGTCGCCTCGAGATGTAACTGTCTTTAAAGGGTGTAAATTAGGGATTTCAAGTCTTCAGATGGAGGAAATGAGATGAAGGCACAATTGAAACTGTTTTTATACAAATGTCCATCTGTCACGTCCACACTTAAAAATTAAAACAAATTGATGAAAGATTGAACTCGGAAAATTAGTTTTTCTCTTTGTGGAGAAAAGACCCTCCACTGGTTGACTCTTGAAAACACAAATCTCTCACAAAAGAAAAGAAACTTTAAACAATACATTAAATACTGAATTCGAAGAATTAGTTTTCTATTCATTAATTTGAATATTCTCTTTGCTTGAAGTAATTAAACTTCCTTCATTTAAGTCAACATGAACATATTGATGTGTT